TTATTTACTTATTCATCTCATGGAGGTACTGGGGATTGAACCCAAGACCTCGTGCATGCTAAGCATGTGCTCCACCACTGAGCGATACCCACCCCCCACATATTTGTTTTTATCTGAGAAAAATAGAACCTGCTTAGTCAGATTTTCAGTTACTTGCAGCCAAACGCATTCCTAGTGGATACACAGGATAAAGTAAGATTCCCAGAGCACTGTTCTGAAATTTTATGGCTCTAGATAAAGCTCAGTCAATGCTTATTTGCCAATTACTCTCAACCTCTGCTTCCTAATGTGTACAGTGCAGGCCCCTCATGTTTCTCAATCCCTAAGGCACAGAGGTGCTTTACCTAGCACTGAGCATTTAAATTAAGTAAGTGTTATTCATTATCTTCTTGTTTCTGAAAACAGCAAAGACTTTGGCCAGAAACATCAGTTTCAAGAAGAAAATCTTTTAAGGAATTCTAAAACACTGCTGATGAGTACGCCAAATAATTCTCAAAAGGAGCTAGGCCCTTTTAAATCACCATGCAAACCTACAACTCTTAAAAAGGAGAAAGGAAGAAAAAAGATTTTTTCCCCTATTATCATGAATAAGACAAATTGTCATGATTAAACACAGTAACTGTAATCATGTATAATGATGTACAAATGCCTTGACTGAACCTTAGTATCCTTCCCACTCCCTAGGACATTCCACAATACTTTAACCCCTTCACCTAATTTTAACTACGTAGGTAGCAAAGTAATATCTCCATCATACAGATGGCCAAACTGAGGCCACAAGGTTAAAAGATTTGTCAAAGCCACAAAGAAAGCCAATATCAGAGAGGAGATTCATTTAAAGAAATCACATGTCTCTACCTTCACAAGGTAAGTAGGAAAGTGATTACCAGCAGCATAAACTAAGAAAAACCATAGCTTTTAATAGCAAAGCCTTACTTACATAATCTTGCAAAAGCTTTCTTTGGATGAAAGGCCATGCATGGTTCTTCCTTAATTTGGACATTCCTTATGACAAAGTATTATAGAAATGATTACACATTTATCACCCTTAGTTCTTCTGCAGCAATGACAGCCTATTAGTTTCGGAGAAGGGATGAATGTCTCTTGTGTACCTTGAATGTGCAGCTTAAGTACTTTTTACTCATTCAAGCAATTTTTGAGCATAAAACCCACTGGATGAGACACAATGAAGATACCAAGAAGTGTGCATTGGAGATCCTTCCTCTTAGAGGTTTCATTTTAGCAGAGGGATGAGACATGCACACTGACCAACAAAGCAACACAAAGTCAGTGGACAGAATGTGCAGGCATGAAAGGCTCTGGGAGTCTGAGTTGTTGGGGATGATGGCGATTGGGTGGAGCTGAGCAGGTTTCATGGAGAACGTAGCACCAGAGCTAGTCTTGGGATGGGCAAGGTATGGAGAGGCAAAGGCAGTGGGACAGCATGAGACTGTCAAAGCCTGGATGGAAATGGGTAATTTAACTGTTGGCATGACCTGAATGCATATTCTCTTTCCAGGCACTGTGCTATTGACCGCAACACATGATTTCATCCACTCCTTGGATAATACAATTCTTCTGAGTCGAGATGAGGATCTATAGATGAGGAACCGGTGGCTCAGAGAAGTCAAGCTATGTGCCCCACCCACAGAGTTGGTAAAAGTGGTGGAGACAGGGTTCAAATGCCAGTCCATTCAACTCCCGAGTTTTTACACTCACCACTGTGCTGTGCTGCCTCCCTTCAAGGCCCTATTTCTTGCCTCTGCTTTGTAATCATCAAAGAGAGGTTCCCATTGCAAAAGGTGGCCACCACATTTCCAAACACAGCTAATTTCTGCAGTCAAAAGCAGGGCCATTGGGTTTTCAGTGAGGTGACCCTGCTTTGCTGTAGCTGTTAGAACACCACCCCCCTGGCCCGGGCACACCGAGGCAGCTGACACAGCTACCGCTTACCCACTGGTGTCTGTCTAGTCAGGCGCCCCCACGAGGAAGTGTAAGGAATTTTAGGGAAGGCAGCAGAAGTCTTGTAACCTGGGTGCTGCCCAGAGGACTGTACCATGTGACTCTGAACAAGAGTGCAGTAAACAGCCTCCCCAGAGCCCCAAGACCCTGATAAAGGACACACCTTTCTCTTCTTCCCAGCCCTTTTGAAGTTTGATCATCTGCCTGCATTCTCTAATGATATGCTGTTTCGGATTGGGGTAATGCCTTACAATAAATGGAATATATGAGATGAATTCTCCTTTATGTCCACATGTCACATTTATTCCACGCCGGCTCCCTTGGTCAGACTCTCCCTCTTTAAATCTGGCCTCATCTTCCTAAAACATCAACTCTTAGTCCCAGACTGTGATGTCATTCCAGGCATCAGCTTTCCAACTGGCTCAGAGATGAGTATGAGGGAAAATGATACCTAGAGCAGCAAGCACGTCTTAAATAGCAAGCACCTGGGTACCGGCCTTTTGCAAAGCCTTAGCCTGAGAGTCTTACGTGAGCCTGTCTCGACTCAGTGATTCTGACCACAAAGATGCCGCTGAAGTATTTCACCTCAGCTTCTCCACTTCCCTTCATCAGACCACCAAGGTGGGCAGGATGCAAGAAGAACAGGTACTTGAGTGGACTTCCCAGAAAGGAGAACTCAGGATGCTGGGAGCCATCTTGAATTCTGGCAAAAACTAAGAATCTTTGGTATTTCGTAATTCTTAACTTGGGCATCTTTCTCTTTTCCTCAGAAACAATTTTATGAGTATGAACAGGAGGCCAAAACTCACTTTTCTATAGGCTAAGGAGGTTCCCTCTGGTTCAATCCAGCGTGGGTCATTTTAGCAAACGTGACTGATTGTCTAGCATGAAGAAGCTCCCAATCATGACAGTGCTAGGGTCATTTTAATAATTTCTGGAACTACAGTTTTTAAGGGAAGACACATAGAAAGCACCCAGCATTTATAGAATAAACGATGACACAAGCATGCTGTTTTATGCTTCTCAAGCAGTCTCTACAAATATTGTTTTATTGTCATTTCTGGATCAGAATATGAGGTAGGGAGAAAAAAATTCACTCAAGAGTAATCCTGTCCCCATTTTACTGGTGAGGACATTAAAAAATTCAGAAGGTAAGTGGGAAGGAAAAGAGGCAGCCTAACCAACTGTCCTGACTGTGAGCAAATTGTGCTTCTTAGTCCTTCTTACCATGCCGCACCACGATCCTGTCCTTTACTTGGAATGCCCTCCATTCGTGTAAGCCACTTTAAAAAAAATTAATTTTTTTTAAAGTGAAGTATAGTTGATTTCCAATGTTGTGTTATTTTTAATTTTTTTTAAATTGCACATAAGCAACTTTTGACTTCATCATTATCTACACTTTGAAATCTCCTTATTTGATATAAAGTGATAAGAAACAGCACATTCCACATCGTCTTCTAAACGCTTACATTCCTGTACTGGACTATACACTCTGTGAGGTCAGGAACCACTGAATTCCCAGCGTCTGTACAGCAACAGGCACTCAGTAATCCCTTGTTGAATGAAAGAATGAACTGGCCTCGTTTCCTCCTCTGAGCCCCTGCAGAAATGTCTGCTTTTAACATTCACTTAGCATTTAGAATATGTTAACTTGACCATAAAAAGATGAGAAACATCACATGCCTTTATCTCCTTGAGACCAAAAATCTTCTGACTAAAAGAGCTTCGTGTCTCTTTACTTCCCACCATGGTTTCAATGTTTAATGGATGTGGACTATGAGGATAATGTCATCACGCTGCCCCATTTAAAGAGACGCATTCTGGGACTTGCATAATCCCATTCAGACGAAGGTTTTCAAATTAGAAAAAAAATACATATATAGCCTCTCTGATTGTACCACACACATGCTCACACCCAAGTGAAATAATTCAGGATTTTGAGAAAGTTCTGTCAATCATCACAAGACGTTTAAAGTAAATTTTGGAGCAAGTAAAATTTCACAATTGTGGCTACAGAGATTGCTTCACACAATAATCTGAATACTTATTTTCTTCAATGTGATTTCTGCACGTGTGCACTGACCAGCCAGCCCTCTCCACGGCCATATTTCCCCGAGATGCACACAAGATTTAGATTTGTGGGACTAACACTGAGATTAATGCAAGAAATATCGGTTTCCCCAGGCGTACGTCAAAGTAGACAACAGATCATAACTTTCTAGGATGTTTTACGATATCAGCTGGTAGATCACAAACCTACCTAAGCGAAAATCTGACGGAAGAAAGCAAACATGGTTACAATTATTCATACTCCTACTGTGGGAGTTTCATAAACAAACTAATAAATATTTTCATCTCGCAATAAGATCAAGTCAAGTGATTTGCTGACATTCTCTTGAGGCTTAAAGCTTGTCTTTAATGTGAAATACAAATCATATTTCTTATGGACACGTTTTAATAATAAACTTAAAAGCACACAAGACAAAAATAATGCAAGCACTGCAATGAAAGCCAGACAAACGATCTACTACTTCAAAAGGAGTGAATGAAGGCGGCTCGTCAACATGGTGATGCAAAACAACCTCAACACGAAATGCCACATATTGAAATCAGGTTTCAAGGAAAGGGAATCAGTAGGGACGAGAGAAGGAAAATGAGCTATTGCCTGAAAACAGGTAACTGACTACACAAACATAAACAACTCTGACACACACACACACACATACACACACACACTTACACGCACGAGCACCTGTGCTCTTCTCGTACAACTTGGGGGACAGATTTGATTTTGCTTTCATTCAAATGACCTCCACCTCTTGGCAACATCCTCCCGGCAAAGAAACGGGAAAGGATCAGGGTTTGATGCCAAATCTCTTAGGTCCCTACAATTCCAAAGCAGTCCCCAAGGATAAGAAATGGGAACACTTACTGCCTTCAGGAGCACTACGGGGGAGTCCTCACTGTCTCACATTCTGCCACTCTGGTCCCAAGGTCCCGATCTAAACACAACCAGGGGTACGTGCGGGGCTGCTCACCTCTGGGTCCTGTAATGACAGGTCGGTGATGCTGTGTGAATGCCGTTCCCAAGGAAGAGGTCTGCGAAGGTGAGGGGCTGCTGAAACCAGACTTCTCCGACTTCTTCAGTGTGGTTGGAGATGGCATTCCTGGCAGGAAGGATGGATTGATAAGCACACTTTAATGCAAGGAACAACAGCGTATGCAACCTGAAAGATGAAACTTGAAAGAACTGAAAAAAGAAATCTACCTGTAAATGGAAAATGTGTTTTGAATCGGTTTGAATTTGTCATAGAAACAAACAGGTGATGGAATGGTCCCGTGATGTCAGCATATGATCCATTTCAACGTACTCTGCTAAGTCACAGTCCATTTTGGGGTTACTGATCTTCTTTAACTAGAGAGTGCCACTTTCCCAGTGCGTCCTGAAAGTTGTTGTCTGGGCCTGTAGCCTCTGGGACCCTTCGTAAAGAAGGCAACAGAAGCACACAAAGACTTCATGTGCAATCATCTCATCCCACCAGTTACCTTACTTCAGCACCAAGGCACTTTCTCTGCATTTTACATAATTTAGCTATTTTAACATTTAAAAAACCCTCGCCAATGGTAACTCAGTTGCTCATCCAATGAATAATTTATAATAGAAAAAAAAGAAAAGGTAAAACATTAAATAAACCTTAAACGGTTAACTAAGGTATAACCAATGTAAAAAAATACTGTACAAGAATAATGACAACGGGATGATATTTAATGACGTGGAATAAAGACACGGAAAGCAATTACAAAATAGGATATGACACTATGGTGCCATTTTAAAATGTATTTCTATGTACAGAGAAAGAACTGGAAAGAAATATGCATAAACTAGAATAGTAGTTCTCTCTGCGTGTTGGATTCGAGTGATTTTCATTGCCGCTTTCTGCTTGTTTTTCCTATGCTGAACATATATTATTTTTATGTTAAGCAAATACAATAAAAGCTTGCTTTTAAAAATAGTATTTTTACTAGAGCCTAAGATTTTCATAGCATTTCCAGCATACGAAATGCTTTGGGAAGAAAATAATGGGAAAACGGTCCCTTGTAATTACCTCATGTGTAATGTTCTCAGCAACCACAATGACACACACAACTGGAGGCATCTATCAGTTTGGTAGGGTGCCAATTAAAACAATGAAAACTTGGATATAAAAATAAAGGAAATGACTCCTAGTCTCCACATCACAGGACAAATCTGGGCTCTCTTAAGCTGGCAGCATAAATCTGGTCTAAATTCATGTCAAAAGAATCAAATCTCATTTTACTTATATGTGTGTATATATATGTACACACACACGTTATGTTCTGTCTATGACCAGAGAATTATTTAGACGAACTGGAAACATAAGTAATAAAAATAATAATGATATCAGCATGCAACTGTTATTAAGTAGCTGCTAAGTGTCATGCACTATTCCAAGCACTTTGCAGGTAGAGATCCGCTCAGAAATTTAGTTAGTTTGGACTATATCTACACATATCTTTGTTATTTCTGACCACAGACTTCCTTAATGATTTTCTACAAGACAACCTTTGAGTGTGACTGCGGATTCTCTGAGGACAGACACCAGGTCTGCTTTGCCCTCCTCTACTTTCAGGCTGTCTAATAAAGGCTCTAGAACACATCAAAAGATATGTAAATTATGTGTACAGTTCTTGGCTTTATCTGTGGTTTTACTAACAGCTCCTTGGACAGAGTAAAACTTGGGATTTTGACCCCAAGAAAGAAACAAATTGCACATCGGTAAGCACATTTGCATAGTCAGACGTAAGGACAACACGAAGCGGTGTGTGATTTCACAGGAACTTGACAAATCCAGATCAGATCCGTTCTAGATCAGTATCTATGTGATCTGAGTTAGAAACAAGTCACTAAGTGACTTCAGCTATATTTGTTTGCTCTCTGAATCAGTAACCAAAGTCACACCATGCCAATGTCCTAACATCATTAGAATGTATTGAGATTTTGGATCAACATTCAAACATTCACTGCAAGTAACCTAACCTAAGGTATCATCAATGTAATTATATCAAAGAAGAGATTTCAAATTAAAATACGAAAGGGAAGAAATAAAAAGCTTCCAAATGTAGACATATCTCCTAATTCACTCAAACCTCTTCTGCACAAATTTTTAGGCTTCTAGCTAGTCCACTGATCTAAACTCAGTCAAATGCCTGAATTATGTGTCATGCAACAGAAATAGAATAGAAAATGAAAATGTCAAAACTTTTAAGATGGCAGAATTTTTTTCAGATGATGGAATTGATGATGAAATGTGTTATCTGAACTAATCTTATTAAAGAAAGCAAATGGTTGGACTCAGGGAAGAGTTGTCACTTCTTTGAAAAGTTCATGTTTTCCAACCCATGCCATACTGCAGAAATGTTGACAAGATTTAAACCCACCATTTCCTCTTTTAAAAGGGGGAAGTGTAAGTTAAATTTAGGCAATAAGCATCAAAGTGATCAAGCTGGTAAATGGGTTCAAAATGAGCAAAATTCAAATCCTCTTTGAAAGGGTTAAAGAGAAAAGAAATACTGTCTGCATACAAGAACAAGCCAAACTTTGTATAATCTTCTAAATTTATCACAGTCAAGTAACATGAACCTCAAGGCTGTCATGAATCTCAAAATTACTTTGTATTTTCAATTTGTAGAATCGTACTGAGCATGTTTCTTTACTATATACTTTAATATTTTCACCATATGCATAATTATGCTTTGGCTAATTTGCTTCATACACTTAATTGACCAGAGGAAATTTCAACATGCTAGTCAACTGTTTTATGTTAAAAGTAAGAGAACATGAATCTTTGCTTTTATTTTTGAAACCAAATTTGGTTTCTGTATGATATTTTAAAAATAAACTCCTTGTCAAAATTTCTTTTTCCAAGTAGCTGTGCACAACTGTTACACAATTACTGCACAGATTAATGACTGACTGGCTTCCTCTTAATTAATCAAAACTTCAATTTCACTGTATTTTTTAGAAGTATCAGATTTAAAAAAAAAGATTATAAAGTAATGCTACCCATTTTTCTGGAACAAACAAAATATTGCTTCAAAATTCTTTTCAATACGTAAAAATAAAGAACTCTCCAGAATGAGAAGCAGAAATTTAGCATAATGTTTTGTTTCAATGGGACATTCCCACCTGTTGATTGCTGTAAAAAAACTCAATGATGATAAACAGAATAGGAGATGAATTTCAAGAAGCACTTTGCTTGTTGTTGGTTTTCTAACCATTAGACTTTCTGAATTTCTCTCCACTTAGCCATTTTTTTAAAGCTATCTGAGTCATTTCAAATAGGTGGACACAGGCAAACATGCATGAAATTCTAGTCATTCAGTGACCCTGATCCCTGGAGGCAGTTGTGAGTGAGAACCTTGAAAGTACAGGCCAAATACAGCATTCACAAAGATTCTGTTAGCCTCATCATTAATATTTGTGGTAGTCAGAATTCTAAGACAGTCCCTAGGTTCCTGGCCTCTGGGGTACATACTTGTATAATCCCCTCCCCTTGAAGGTGGGCAGTACCTGTGAATAAAATGGATGTCATTCTTGTGAGTAGGTTGTTATATGGAAAAGGGGAAGGAACTTTTGTGAATGTAATTAAGGTTCTTAATCAGGTGACTTTGAATTAAGTAAAGGGCTGTTATCCTGGGTGGGCCTGACCCAATCAGGTGTGGTCCTTCCACAGAAGGATTGCTAGTCAAAGTGATCCTCCTCCTGGCTTTGAAGAAGTAAGCTGCCATGTTGTAAAAGAGCCTGTGAGAGTGCCACATGGCAAGGAACAGTAGGGGCCTCTATGGCCTAAGCTGGGCTGCGGCTGACTGACAGCTTTAAGAAAGCTGGGACCTTAATCTTAAAGCTACAAGAAACTAATTTCTACCAACAATCACAAGAGTGTGCAAGAAAACTCAGAGCTCCAGAAAGGAATGTAGTCTGGACAAAATTCTGATTGCAGCCTTGTGAGACCCTGAGCAGAGGCACCAGCTAAGCTGTGCCAGGACTCTTAACTCATGAAACTGTGAGATAATAAATGTGCGTTGTTTTAAGCTAAGTTTGTGGTAATTTGTTATACAGCAATACAAACTAACACGATGCTCAAGATTATCATTTATGCTAGGAATATGTGTATTAAAGATGCCTCTTGTGCACTAGAATTAATCTCTAGAATTCTAGAAGTTTCTATTATTTTTAGCAAATCTGTCCTACGTTGTGAGATTTTCCATTAGCCTACACTAACCCAGAGAAAATGGTAAGACACTTTCTTAGACAAGAGGCTGATAAGCAGCAATTTCCAATGGCGTAAACACTTCTGAAAATTTCTATTGCCTCCTGATCCTTTCAAGGAATATCAGTAATAAAAAGAGATTGAAAGATATTAAAAAAAACTCAAAAATAATTCTTGGGGTCTCCTATAAAAAATCAAGGGTTTTGGGGGTGTCTTTTTGCTGCAACCTGATGTAACAGAAAGAATATACACGGAAAAAAATCATCATTAATTTCAACTCCCCTTCTCTCCCAAATTATATTTGCCAAACACTTTGACCAAGAACTTTACAGTGACAATTTTGAAGCAAATCCTACAGGAATGGGAAGGAAGTACGATGCTGTTCTTTGCTTGAGAAAGCCTCTTAAAGGGGATATTTCTAAGAGTCAATGGAGCTACAATATTAATGGGAAGGGGAGAAGAAGGGAGAGATCACAATAAGCCATAATTATTCTAGTGACAATGGAACCAACATGCTGGATTTTCAAAGAGGAGGTGACAAGTCAGGGTTAGTGCTTACTGTGTTAGGGGACTTTTATTCAAAAACCCGCTGTCCCGTGAAAATGACCCGTGGTTAATGCTGCTCAGGACAGCAGACCTTATCGTGTCTGTCGTAGGAGTTTGGGTGATGTAATTCAAGTTGTCAGAGAAGATTTAACTGGGGTACGTTTCTTTCTTCAAAGTAGCAAAGTCAAGAACAGAAAGGTTAGTTTCACTACCGTTCATTTATAGTCACAATCTGTTTGGGAGAAACTCTGGAAACCAGCAAACTCTGCACTTTCATTTTAAAATCCAATATATACGCAGGTTAGAGAGGACCACAAAATGCCATTTAA